TATGCTGACAAAATAGGAAACACACGATCACAAAGATATAACGATAAAAGATAGAAGCGTATTGTTGTGTGGCCGACCGATGAAAAGGAAGCAGTTACTTTTCCCAGTGGTTCTAGCTAAACACAGTTATCATGTAATGATCAAGATAACATCAACACATAAATCTCGCGCTCTACAAACCACCGAGGCACTTTTTTAAGCCTTGCGGTGATGAATGAGTTAATTAGCTGTCACCTTTAAAATGGTTGGTTCGGTGAAACAAATTACCAACAGCATCAATTATAAAAATATCAGTAGAAACCATTAGCAACAATAAGTTTCTGTCAATTTTCGCATAGCCCATATACAATCGAGACCAGCACTTAGACTTGGTTACGAAATGCATTAAGTTAATTAATAATATAAGTTACATATATGTGGTAGAAGGTAAGGAAATAATCTAGACTACGTTTGCTACAATTGTATTGTCAAGACAAAGCGGAAACGCTTATCTTTTAGTGGCTGTTTCCACACGGGGATGTTAAGGGAAGAGAATGAGAGTTTACGTAGTAATCGCGATGTTAGATAGTATTAAATAGTATGTAGTGAAAAGGCTATATAAGGCCTGAAGATGCTAGCACGCCATCGTAATGCTGTCCTGAGACTGTTGTCCTATGGCGCCGGTTAAAAGCTTTCATTTTTTCACTCTTGATGATACACGAAGGAGCTCGAAGCGCCGAAGATAATTAGACAACAGATCATCGCAGATTGATACTGGCACCGACGTATTCGACGTCGGCGATATGCGCCTTTTCTTTCAGGAGGACTAAGAAGAGGACAGACCTGCTCTGTATCTACGATTGGAAGCACGATAAATTGATAAGTGGAACGTGCCGATAGCCATTAGGTATAATTTCGACAGAGATGGAGAAATGGCATGTAATTTCTATTGGGTATCTACATAGTAGCTGAACGATCCTCCCAGGCGGTTCTGATAAATACCATGATAGGGAATATGAGTACTGCGATGCTCAAACAGTATTTGTAGCTAGAACAAACAAAATATCCCACTTGTATTCAAATCCTTATTTATATTCAAGCTAATGCTGATGACTCTAGCGGAGTCAGTCAGTCGATTTCGACATTTTCGGATTATCGAAAGCCTGCGATGGCTTTTGATACTTTACTGGCTTACTGGATGTTACTGTTGTCGACAACAAGAAACAAGATCGGTTTAGGTTCATATGATAACGGGCGTGTTGCTTTTTTCGCACCGACAAGCGTTTTTGTGCCCACCTAATTTTATCAGCACCAGTCTCTAGTTCACGCACTATTTTCAATCCGTCGATATGATTTGCTGGCAAACGGCTAACTTACGACCGTCGTATACGACGTATGTCGTCGGTGTCAGCGATTCGCGATGCAGATCACTTAGGGCGGCTATTTCAGGCTATCAACAGACATCTAAATTGTGCCCGCTAGCAGATACGAACGAACCGATATCGGTGTCTTTTGCTAATAATAAGAATGATAAAGGTTGAACCGTATTTACAAATAAAAGCATGACCAACTGCAGTATTTAGTCGCGATTGACGTTCCAGATGATGCCAGCTAGAGTTATAAGGCTGACAAAGTTCGAAAAAAAAAAAACGACTTACATATGACACGCGCCAAATAACGAAGTACTAGTTTGAAGGATAGCATTAAGTTTTATTTTCATTAAATACAAACAAGAAGACAACTTATCAACTTGTAGAAAATCTCATTGCTGCGTTTAAATAACGACGTGGCAACCATTCAGCAGTCATCTCTCGACAGCTCAGGTTCTACGTAAATGCCCCTGAACACTGTGATAATGTTTCCTTCGAGTAATTAAGTATAATGAAGTCGCAGTTGGTACTGCATTGGCTAAACTCGATATCTTCGCATTACGTACGCTGAGCGGCCATTGCGGGTTGGTTGACGTAGGCAGAACGCCGAATACAAACGACGGAATCGATTTAGGTGCGCCTTTATCCGCATATCTGTCTCAACGCGGACCTAAATCAGACTAAAGTTCCAGGCTAAGTAATCAAGAATTTTAGTATTTCAGTCTCGTCTTGGAACGAGAATATCAATTGCACGAGACTGTTTTAATGTAGAACCAGAACGTACTGCACGATACGGTGCAATATGTGTAGCACCACATCAGCGTGAACCGATTATCTGTTATGATCGAACGCTAACGCTCCGTTTGCAAGCCTCCGTAGGCGTTTAGCGTGTGCGTCTGTGGGCGCGGAGCCTTTGCTATACGTGACAGCATATCTGCTAAAGGTATACGAGATGTGAGAAGATACGTTATAGTCGTCTGCATTGGAATACTCTCTAGCAAGGCAATACCGCGACGGACGCAAGAAGCTGTTTCCGAAAAACTGGGCCATTGACGAGTACTTTTGAAGATGAAGAAGAAGTGCTTTCTCTATCCACGTTTATTTCCACTTTAACAACTAATCAGACCTCAGTGACGAACGGCATACAGACCATATTTACGTTAAGAACGATCTCGCTGAAGGTGATCGCAGTACTAATAAAGGAAATGATCAGATCAGCGATAGACGATGTCAGCACGATGAACATTCGCTTGTCTAAAGAATATATTTACATTCAAAATAAAATTGGTCTTAGCATCATTGAATATTCGATAACACCTATCTATCTGTTTTCTAAACTATTATATATAAAGAAAAGTCACTTAACTTATTGAAGTTATCTTTCACACCCTGTTTCCATGTATATAATTCTGCAAACAGATGAACTAAACCATACTTCTCTCTGGTTTTTCGTTCCTGTCATCGATTTTGTATATCAATCGAATCTCTAATACATATGGCAGCATTTCATCACGTCATTTTAGGCTAAAGACCTTTTTGTGACAGTTAATTAGGCCCATTTTTTTCGAGTATATCTACTAGCAGCTATTGAAAAAAGGACTAGGGCGTTGGTCTCTTCGATGGCGCAAAAGCCACATAGTAACCATATAACACTCTTAGTGTCACTGAAGATGTGACGGAAATAAACCCAGATATGATGCTACTAATTTGAATATAGATTTAGACCATGTCAAATCCCATAGAGCTCATATGCCAAACTTGAATACTTATTAAAGTCGTTAAGACAAAAGTCTCTAGCGGTTGAACGACAGTAGACAAACAGAACAGCAACTACGGAACACTTAACGTTATGTACAACGGTATTTTCAAAACGTAGCTGAGGTCCCTTTTCGTTGTGAATCAACAAAAACAGCCAACGTGGACGTTATTCTGGCCCACCAATTTTTTTGTCTATGACTAGCCATCGTAACGACAATTTGCTTCGGGGTAGTGAGTGTAATTATACGTAGTTTCTACTTCATTTACAATTTTCCATTATCGTCTATCCTTACTAAATGGTATGACTTTCATTCTAATTAATTTTGCTCAAGATGGAAAATCATAGTTCAGTCTTTTCAGCTGAAACGTCGAAGTCTACTAATCAGAAGCGTTCGGCCTAATAGGGTATATTTCCCGTGGCAGTAAACGGAGTTTTTGACCTATTGCCTGAAAGACAGTTTTCTTATTATGACACAAAAAACATCAGTTACAGATCATCGCACCCTGGAAGGTCAGCAGGAATCTGGTGCATTTTGTATGGGAAGTCATCCTGTAAATAAATGACGAAAAGCTGAAGTGGGGTGCGCTATTCTAAATGCCAGGAAGAACACCGGGCATCGAACTACCTTTCTTTTTTTGGTTTATAATAATAGAACTGTATCATCTTTGAAATTTCCCCATTTTAAAGTCTCAATATTAAAACAAAAAATAATTTTTGAGACCTCGAGCACATCCTATTCTATAATAGAACCATACGATTAGGCTCTCACAAATGCCAAAACGACCGGAAATGCTATAACGGCCATAAAGCACACGTACACTATAAGCCCTAGATGTTTATACTTACAATAATACTAGTTATTAACAAAGTGACAAGGTCTTCTTTAGAGTAAAGAATTGGCTATTTCGAAGCTCTTCGAGTGTAAGCTTTATAGCGTTTTGTCAAGGTACAATCGGCAAGGAAGATCACCTTATTGCATTTCGAAAAAATTAATATCGAAAACAGGCCCCCAGTTGGAGTGTTGGAAAATTGTACCTACGATGATATTTTCACATGATAATACAGTTCACAAAAAAATAACAAATGACGTTCCTTTTCATTTGCGGTATTAAAAAGACATTCATTGAAAACCAGTCTAACAGACTCTTCCTTATTGCCACCAAATTTATCCTAGGTTCTATTCTATATCCAAACACTACAGCCAGCATTATACTAACGGATACATAACTCTCCGTTGTATTATTGTTAGTATTAATGCAGTTTCATGGAAGTTATCCATTTAGCGCGATGTTAGTATATATGTAAGTGAATGGAATGTGTGATTTTCTCATTTATTCTGTCCTTACGATCTAAGTTAAGTTTGATTTTCCTGGGGTGCTGATCTGCTTTGATAACGCTACTTGGAAAGGTATAGGGTGAACAAAGAAAAGATTAGAGACAGTTGGAATATGTGGCTCTACAGTAGGCCACTGTTTAGCTAGTCTCTTGAGAATTCCTAGTTTTTTCGTTTCATACCAATACGCCCTGTTTAATGGCCTTAAGCAGGATTGCCGAGATTAATGAGCACTAGTAATAGAAATCTATTACATGATCAGGGTACTTCATATTGCTTGTCTCTCATTAAGACATCGAAACAAGATCAGTGAAATCGTAACAGGCATCAATCACCTTGTTGCTCACTAGTGGCCTTAGCAGTACGCGGTTAGTAGTCACAGCGGTCGAAGGCCATATAGGACGTAGTCAACAGAAGTGAGATGGGAACAGCCAGATGTCGGGAATCATGCATGAGTGTCACTTTCAGTCTGGCTTACTTTACCCTTTGCCTCCATGAAGAAGAACTACGACATGCATCGTGCAGGATCGTACAGTATAGGCGTTGAGAAGAAACTCACCACCACGTGGTCCGGCACCACCTTGGGTAGCTGAAATCGTTTTATAGGCTTGCGTATCGCTGCTTCCTGTCGATGAGTTTGATTCAGCCTTCTTTTTGATTGTTACCCTGGATGAATAGCAAGAAATACATTGTCAGTAAGTATGTAATTGTAATATTTTAGACAACTAGGGTTAAGAGAGAAATGATCTTGGAACAAATATTGTTCTTTGACGTGCCCATTCAATAAGCGTCTTTTTCAATCATATTATTTTAAAAAGGTTTACCGATAAATGTATTAGCTTCATTATTTATCTTCTCCTTCTAAGCGCTGATGTCTCTCAATATCATTACTTTTATCAACGGTGCTATAGTTCGGATCTATGCAACTTTACTACGAGTATGTGGGAAAATGATATTTATATTGATCACACGCGATTTCCAAGATCCCGACAGCCCGAAATTAGTTTCATTATACGAACCTCCTAAATATCACAGACACGTCATTTTTGCTGCTGCTATCGGAATTAGTTGGCGAACTTGCTCTTTGGCCGGTTACGGCCTGTCCCAAATCAACATCGACTCTACCGTCGCCAGAACTGCCACTGGGGCCGTGGCCGACGGCAGGCGACGAATGCGGCCGAAATTGTCGTGATTGTTGGTGTAAGGTTGAGGCTTGTCCTGGCTGGGGGCTGAGCGAACCTAAGTGACTGTCAACTATCTCGAGTGAGTTAGACGCATTTTCACGCTGACTTCGCCAAGATAAAGGCACTGACTGAGCGGAAACGGGCTGTTGCTGGATGGGACCTGCCGCCCCACATATTCCGGCACTAGTTGCTGTTACCCCCGGAGAACTCAAACCAATCGATGAGCTTGGTGATTGATTCCCAGTTCCTGACAAAGTTGAACCTAGGATAACTCGACCAGGTCCAGAGAAGTGGGGTTCACTGGTAAGTCGGCCCTTGTTTCGTACCGAAACAGCTTTGTTGTTACTGCTAGTGCCACTGGTGGCGGAGCTGACGGAGCGTTCATCTAATCTCTTCGGCTTGGCAGGTAGAACAGGGGATCTCTTCAAGGCGGTTGTGCTACAGCTGTGATTGAGGCTATTATGTTCCGTTTGTTGCGAGTTCGTTGCTGACGCTGTACCAACGAGAAGATGGTGAGGTGTTGAAGGTTCTTTGCCTCCGCTACTTGCGATACTGCTTGTCTCCGAGCTGAGCGTTGATAATGATGAAGTCTTAGCGGAAGTGGAACCTTTTGTGTGCTTGTTAATTGGTGTGCATCGTCTTGGGACGCCGTTGAGCGACGGTGACGGTGAAGTTGAGGGACTTGACAAGTGAGTGGAAGAACTTCGTGGGGCTGGGCTACGTCGATGCGGAGTTTGAGGTGAATGACTTCGCGAAGGTGGAGGCGTTTGCCGCTGAGGCGAGCTATCGAATCCGGGTCCGAATTTTAATGGCGCACTTGGTACCTAAATGATTACCGTCATTGCGTCGAAGATTCCGCGTTGAAAACCACACGAACAACGACAGACAACAAAATGCAGGCCGAAAAAAGAAGGTTAGATTTAATGCTATAAGGTAGATACGGACAGGAAAAAATGGTACTTTTGCATACGTAAGGATGATGAATGACGCGTCATTTGTTATTACTTACTTTTTAAAATATAACAACAGTAATAACAATAATGAAAGTGAATAACTCCACACAATAATACGTATCACTGAGATACACTGAGATACGTTTTCTTTGGGATAATAACAATGTTTGTTCGATACTACAGAAATTTTTTGTTTCCTTTTTTAGTGTTCATCAACATAAATGATTAATGATAAATAACAATTGTTATTTGTAAATTGTCTGTTCGTCAAAAGCAGGTACTGTAACATTAAAACCTATAATTAAACAGCGCAGTCATAAAGCTAATGTTTAGCGGTTCTAGGCTAAAGGGCTTTGTGCAATTAGGCTAACACCGGTACATGAGTCACAATTAATTCCTGCTTCATTCCTAAGTATAGGCCAATCTTTGAGCAGGCTTCTAGATGAGTATACGTAGAGTTTCTAGGTATACGAACAGGTGCTTCGGGATACAACAGTCGCAACAAAATATATGCCATAAGGACAGAAGTGAACATTTGACAGATTCGCGTCAATTATTACTCAACGGTAAATTTATAAAGTATTAATTGACTGTATTATCGTTAGACAACGCTTGGGGCGATAAAACAACTCCAATGTTTGTCCGATTCATGGAAACAATACCACATTCTCGTGTCCGTACCTGAATGTCTCTATTTCGGTTAACGTTATGAATAAATACAGGGATCATATTGGCGTCTATTATTTTGCTGCAACATAGCTAAACCTTTAGATGTAAAAACAAGTATATATAGAAATTACGGTCGAAAAGATAGCACACAATTTGAAACGCAATGACCTGGAAGGACAGATAGTCGCAGCTTTACTGACATCAGCGATACGATGTAATCTTATAGGCTCAAACACAGAAAGGTGATAGGTGCAAAAACGTAAATTCACTAGACAACCTGGGGCTCACCTTCGAATTGGCCCCGTTTCAATATAGATCATACTTAGATCGTGACGTCCTATCTAGCTTTTGGTCAACTATGATAGCATGCATAGACACATCCTATGATAGGTCAAGTACACAGTAAAAACTCAAGGATACGAATAGACAAAAGGGATTCAGGCCGTGGGCAAATTGTATTCCTCTAGGTTAACCAAACGCTACTGAACAAGATGGACAAAAATAAAGTGGCCTGTGTCTTAGTCAGTAACATAAAACTGAGCCCAAAATTGAGATTAAAATACAATTGAAATCCCGAAATAAGAACAAACAGAAAACGAAAAACTTACATCGACCTTTGATTGGGTGTTAATCAGGTGGTAATTTGATTGGTTGTTGAGGTTGCAATATTGAGTTTGATGGTGATGGTCACTCAGATCAGCAGAACAAGGCAGACCAATAGAGGGCAATGAAGGCGTTCGTGGTGGTAACGAAACGTCATCATACACGACAACATCGACAGGTGGGGCTGTTGTTGTGGTTGCCCCATCACGCTCGGATGCGGTACCAGCAGCACCTCCGTCAGCTACAGATTTGTTGACGCTGCCCCAATTGTGGTTTCTAGGCTTGTTCTTACAATCGTTGTTGTATGTGTCGCTCTTGTTGTCGTTATGTTGGAAATTGTCACTCACCGCTAAATTTCCTCCATTGGTCTGCTGTTGCTGTTGTTGAAGCTTGTAATATGCCTGGGCGGCGAGAAACTTGCGTGGGATATGCTCGGGATTGGAAGCTGCGGCTTGAAGTTGCGACGGCAATACTGGCGTTGGCAGGACCGTCGCCCCTGGTGGCAACCGCGACCCGTGCTGGGGGGTCGCCGGCACCGAGTTCGGTGCCGACAGAATTGGTGATACGACGACAGGCGGCGAACCGCTCTGAGGAAAACGGCGTCGGTAATTTCCAGCTTCTTTGCTGCCACCCCCGCCGCTGCCTCCACTGCCGACTCCGCACGGTAATGCCGATCCTCCTGCCCCTAATGCTGCCCCACGAAGAGATCCCGCCGACGAAGACGAGGGCGACGCCTGCATCCACTGACCGCTCGTTGCCTTTAGCTCCCTGCAGAGATAAAAGGAATGAGAGGAAGCGTCAAGTCAGAATACGCGACGAAACATACGGAGAAGAACAGCGAGGTAACAGCGAGAAAAACTGATGAAAAAAGTATATTTTAGACTATAATAGAGTAAGTAAAATGAGATAACAAACGTATAATACTACTAAAATACTATGACGTTAAGAATTGAATAGACCGTATAGCAAGTAGAAACACCTGTATGCACTCGACTGAATAGGAACACTTGGCCACTATCCTATTTCACCATATTCTGAACCACTTTGGCCTAGTTATTTGCGACAGACGCTCGTGTGCCCCTATCGATCCTCGTTAGATGTATTTGATTTTAGCAGCGTCTTCGTATTTTGAAGTTGGCGCCAACTCCAACAATCTAAAGCTGCGCTTGCGTACTATCAAGATCTCTGCTAAACTTTGTTGTAGGCAGTTTCGGCAAGGACATATACCCTTATCGGATTTATATTAGCTATAAAACATTAGCATAACCCGTTATGCTACCACCAAAATAACTAATATTGAGAACAAAATGAAGAGGGAAGCAAACCCACAAAAGGATTTACTCACAATGAAGAAGAGACAATCGTTTGTTGGGTGAATCAAGTCAGGTTCAATGGTGACAAAAGAAACTAGTTGACATCACATAACCGAAATTTAACACTTAGATAAGAAGCAGTTCACTTGGTTTTCGCTAAAATCAGAAGTTCCTACAGAAATGACGGTTTCAGACAAGAACGAAATTAGGCGACGAATGCGAGAGAACCGAAGAGGAGATCATTGAAACAATGCATCCGATGTCAAAGGGCTCATTGCAGTGGCGTATGATCAGCCTCGATGTTCGAAAAGAGTATGGAGGACTCTTAAAATTAAAGAAAAAAGGCCTTACAGCTAAAGAAGTGTCTGCTCCAATTGTAAACTTACTCGTTTATCACACCAGAAGCCCATTTGTTCATAGTATAAAGTTTTATTTAAAGTCCCCTGTTGTTAGTGATTCAAGTCATCCGACACTTTAAGTCACCTAATGCACAGTTTAATCTCTCTGCAACGGGGGTAATCGGCGGGAGATATAAGAGAGAGGAGTTAATCTAATTTCCCTTCTTCATCCCCGTCAAAGTGAATGTTACGAACCTCTCCATCATCTCAGACAATGCATTACCGTTGTGACTTCAAAAACAAGAGTAAATCAAATAAAATATAAAAAAAAAAAAAGCTTTATTCGTTATTTTCTGTTATTGCTTTCGATGTGCCAACTAAGAAACCATAACAGCTTACCGACCCCCACATGATACCGCTTTGTTGACTATTTAACCTAAGTAGCTACTACTCCATTAGACACTCTTTCCGTTAATGCACCTCATTGATCGACGCAAACGGAAACATTTGTAGAGCGAAAAGGGACTTGCAGAAGTCCAGGTAGACTGCATGCCTTCCATCAGTTCATAATCCTGTTGTTATAATGCGTATCGTTGATGGAACCACTCACTACCAGCTTCATGGTGCTTTTTCCGGAAGTGAAATTAAGCAGTTCCACTTTATAATCCATTAAGCAGTACTTGCTTTGTCTTCATAATATCCGTGGCGCACCGTAAATTGCTAACATATCCTATATAGCGTTGATGACCAGTAACGCATCGGGCAGTTGCTTGCTGTATAGCCAACTGTGCAGAGATCTCTATATGCAGTACGATGTAGCCAGGACCATAACCTACAGGTATGTAGCCTTAAGCCAGGTATAATTCGGTAATTAAAAGAATTGAAAATGAGCTTGCGTCGTCAAAATTTAGGTAGCCAAGCAGCCTATAGCCGTTCATAGCGTATGTATATAGTACGTACATTAGTAGTTTGTACACTCGAATGAATATTATGCCGACCGCAGGCGAGATGCTAACGGGACAATTGCAGTAAATCTTGACTGACCTTGTCAAAATATGGCACCATATTGAAGCGTGATATGATCATATGGGATGTTTGCAAAGATTCCACCCACTCCATAAGTATAGCACGAAACAATCAACATTTCTGATCATATGGATCGTAGATTCGCTGGAAGTAGGTCGATGATATATCAATGGTGTCGCTGTTGAATGCGAAAGCAAATGGCGCGTGGAATCGGAGCAATATGCCGATATCGTTGTTAGTGAAACGAAAATTTATGCCGTCCGCTTAAAACGTTTGCATTTGCATTTATTTTTAATACGTTACCTATTACTCGAAGGTGGAACAACTGGATTATATCTAAGTTATACATCAACTTCTATGCGTTATACAACATTTGTATTTGGTAATTAATTTGTTCGAATCTCAACTTTTGCTTAATAGAAAGTCTTTCTCACTCAAACATTAACGTGATAATGACACATTCCTGTATGTAGTCAAATAATTAATACTGTAATAATCAAGTTGCTGATAATCCTACTTTGACGAAGCACTTATCACACTTAAGTTGTATCAGTCATGCAAAAATTTAATCAAAGGCTCCAAGTTCCTGTCACGACAAGTTAACTTCAGTCAATAGAATCAAAATGTTATCCAACAACAACTTCGATTAGCAAGATTCTTTTTTCAATTATCGATGCACAAACTATTTGTTGGCAGAGAGGAAGGTTTAGTGTTGGAGAGTTATTTTATTTTATTATTGCTAACGCCTTTTAGCATGTAGATCTTCACTGAAAGCTATACGCGATTTGAGTAACCTCTTAACTTCAACATCAGTCTCCAAAATAATGCAAAAAAGATGAAAATGAAACAGTTATATCTGGCTAGACTAATCACAAAAAAATAGATTGAGTTTTTTTAACAGCGCACGCTTCGTCCAAAAATATTCAGCCAATCTCTTAATCTCTAATCGCTTATCAGGCTGGATATTCATATGGAAATTGTTTCTGGCTTGTCTGGTTCGACAAGCGGAAGTTTCAGGCTTTAAAAGGCCAAACCGAGACAGCGTAAAAACTTGAACATAGGTGAGGCGTTGGATTCTGATTAATTTTCTCAACCTGTACTGATTAAGAATGTTTCATTCACTCGGACATTTTTTACAGTGTCGTCACTTTGACGGAACAAAATGAAAGCTTACTAAAAACTTAGGGCGAGTCTTTTAGGAAACGCTCGAATATATGAAAGCGTCAACTGCTCGATGATAATAAAGTAACACGGTGGAATGTAAAATGTCTCCGTGGACATGTTTAGGGAAATAGTCATCTACGATATTGCTAAATTAACCACAATAATTCATGACTCAGGGACAAAACCTTGACTATGGGGATCTTCGTCTACGATGAAGAATAAGCGAGGATCTCACACATTTAAGTAGACGAAAAACTAACTATAATGTGATCCACCCGAATGATAATCGCTTCTACCAGGCGTATGGCGGCCGTGCGGTTTTCTCAGTAATTTTACTGTAATTATAGACGCTTTATTGTCTGAATACATACAGAAGTCGTAAAACTATTTTACTAGAAGCTTCAAATTTAAAAAGGCCGGTAGCCCCTATCTCCTCGGCCCTGCGTCTTCTTTAGTCGAGAGGAGGGAGTCTTTCTCCTTGAAGCCAGCAAAGGAGTTATTTTTGTGCCTCGAGCGAACTTCAATCAAGGACATGAGAAAAGCTGACGCTTAAGCCTATTCGCATATTTGTGCGCGTAGGCTATGCGCATGGCCAATAGGAGCTCTACGTGGAAGCTAATTAGAGTAACAAACACAACAAGACGCCATGACATCAAAACTAATTAGACAGATGCAGTGACGTACCGACTTAACGCTTATTTTTGCCAATAAAAGCGGCGGTTAAATCGGTGTCTCGAGGGCATCGTAAATGCGACACGACGCGAATGGATGAGTCGGCGTCATCAACCTATTTTTTTAGGCATTTTCGGTTGCTCGTCACACGGACAAAAAAAAAACGGACGATCAAAAGCTTTTCTTTTTTTTTTAGTAATTCAGTGTTATTGCAAAAACATCAGTACATCCTGCAAGATGTCTTATAAAAGCAGTTGACATTATGAACCCACGACGAAACATTATTTGAAAGGACTTAATTACTGAGGACAGCTGTGCATTGTATAATCTGGCAATTTTATGCAGCACTTTAATACACTCACGAAGAATAAAATTGCGATAAAACACGCAGATACATGTTCCGTCATTATTGATAGCGCGTTGACGGGCCTAAACCCTTACAAACATATTGGAATAATACCGTAAATTTCGAAATTGTTCAAAGGACATAAGCTAGATTTCTTTCACACGCGACTTCTCGCGGTAAAGGATTAGGGCTAGAAAGCTAAATCGGGCAAAATGCTTAGTTGTCCTGCATGACTACGACTGTACCTGGAATCCTTGCGCAAATGTAACATCATGTATTTGTTTATCAAGAATCAAATCACTTTACTACTAAAGTGCCACAAATGAACGACGCAGCCAAAATGGCTGCACCTATACTGCATAATAGAAGTCTATAAAAAATGAAATTTTTTAACTGAGTTTGCTTCAATGCCACTTACTCAAGAGATCCGTTATCAAACGAATTGTTCGCTGGCCGCCGATTCGCAGGGACTCGAGGCGATTTAATGTGAACCGGTAATCTTTTTTTTATCGACACGCGGAGCAAGCGGGAGACCAGGATCGTGCGGTTATATTTTATAACGTTACACCGTCTGATGTCATAGGCTGTCGCACACCTCTGTATGATCGTAAAAATTAACGACAATTTCACAGGCAGACTGGTCATATGGATTAATTAGTGGTAGTAAAATTGACAAAATGGGCCATATCCAAGGAAAATGTACCTACAAATTTATAGAGGAAATCATGCTTATTCAAAAAGTAAATAATACTGCTAGTTCGGATGTCTGCATAGAATGGCTATTAGTCATAATGTGCAGATGTATCTGGTATGTAATAGATAGAATGCTACAATGAGCGTGGGTGACATCGGTGCAATTATGAGCATGCTTAAACAGTGTTGTTCCATGTACAGCAGCACAACCTAAATAATTCTTGTGAGGAAGTCCTTCATTTGTAAACAACTGTAGTCAAATTCGGTCTCGTTTGATAAAAATAAGAGGACCCTCTCATCTCAAATATGTGACCTTCTAAGGGCTATGATATCTCTTTTTTATACAGTACTATATTATTAATTAGATTCGATGCCATTAAATACAAATCATGCGGGTTAAATGAACGATCACTTTTAAGGATCAAAAGTGTTTTTATAATATTGGTTAACTTAGCTTCGTTTTTGTTCAGTGTAAAAAGGTACACCACTTCGAATTGTAATTTTATCTCAGCTAGATTATCATATGAAATAAAATTAGGTTGAATTCAGAAAGGAACCTTTCTTTGTGCTTAAACCCTCCGACTTTCGATCTTCAATTCCGTATCCCACAATTACTGCTTAGCTGAGCCTGTAGATACCATAGCGCCACGTGGTGGGTACACAACGAGTTGCTTGTGATCTTTGCTGAACAGCACCTCTACATTAACGTAGATGGCGCCAAAATCATTCGTCCCTTTTCTTATCTATTCTTTCTGATTTCAGGCGGAAAGAGCTTTTGGCTTACTTGTTTCGCTCGATTATCTGCTAGGTGACGAGCTGAGCAGCGCTTGAACATGACAATTGTACAACGCAAACTGTGCAGTACAATGTACTGATTCGAGCCATTTTGTCAGCTATGTCCCAGCTGCTACAGGAACGATAACAGTTAGGTCCTATCCTTACCCCTGTTCAGCATTATCTGCCAAAAAGGTACCCGTCAGTTGTCTATTGACTAACGGCTTCGATCTTGCGTAGCACACTGAATGGCTTCGTACGTCTTTCACCGACCTGAGGCGCTGCGAATGCTGTCTAGCGAGGTAATGAGGCCTTCAGTCAGTCGGAATTAGTCTAGCGGGTGTGACAAGCATAACGCCAGTGGTAACTGCACCATTCATGCCGCTCAACACGGAAGAATTAGAACGGATGACCAATGCTTTTGTACCGGTTCGGCTTAATTTTATAGGCAGGCAAAGACGACAACAAACAAACAATCTGCGTCCACGAAGCCCTTGTCCACTAACTGCTGTTAGAGCTTAGTTCAGCGTCTGCAGCTGTTATATCTACTAGATCTATCTGACCATAAGCACCAGTATGGTGGCAAAAGACAATAGCTGTTGGGGCCCGCTAAAGACAAATCTCGCCTCCTATCTGGTTGGTACATTACCGGACAACTGAATAGGACCGTGAAGTCTAATGCAGCTTTATACAAAGTTTTATCAGCGTATATAAATGAAATCAAAGTACGTTTGGAAATATCCTTTGCCGAAAAACTCCATTTTGGTTGTTTCATATATAAGCTATCGCACTTAGCGTGCAGGTGTTCAATACGCGTTGTTGAGAAATTTCTATCACTTAGTCAGTAACACACTCAGTGACATGATCGAATCGATTTAAATATCGCAACAAACATCACTTATATATAATTACTATTATTATTACCCTCATTGTAAGTGGCCTACCTTGGATGCATTTTTTTTTTACCTAGGTTTGGCATAAAGAATGATCATATATCTATCTGATATACGATCATCCATTAGGGTTTGACGTCGTTAAGGCGTTGGCTCGAAACAAAGTCTAATAACCGGAATTAGGTACGTCGTAGGTAACAGAATCTTTTATCTGTTCCAAAAATATCAGCTAATAGTAGATATGCAGTAAACCAGTCTTAGTATCACAACGTCTTTAATCTAGTATTTTTATCTCTTCTATGGTTATCAGATCATGGAACGAGAAATATACTTATGTTACGTATGTATTCTACCTTTTCAATGTAAGAAAGAGTAACATGTAGTACATATTTGGTATAACAAAGCGTCAGCTAAAATATCTTGAGAGCCTGCTAACTTCCCGTGAAAATTGTTTGTTTTGACAAAAATGTATTCCCAAAATAGAAAAGTAGGTCTTTTTGTTTGCGATATCCTAAATATATAATTCAGATAGGTCTTCGGTTCCTGTTCGGCCCTCGGTGCTTCATAGCTTGTTAATCTTCTAGACTATATTACAGGCGGCATGGAGTGCGCGTTCGGCCTCGAAGTCCGACAACCGCCATGTGTTCCTGCGGCATTGCTGACATATAGGCTGTATAGCATATAAGTACATGCGCATGGTTTTCTTTTTTGTTATTAATTACTTCTACAATAACAAGCTATAAATAGCAAAAAATGACGTCTTACATTTATTGATTAATTGTTGCTATATGATAACGTGCTTACTCAACATTTCAACTCGTTCTTTTTATCTTAGCATCTTCACACGGTTCGCTCCAAACAATTGTTGCTTAAGTAGCGTAGCTCCATGAGGGACACCGACATCCTTCGTTCAAACCATCTTTTAAATCAACTATAATAACAGAAAAATCAATAACGGCAACGATTGATTGCCTTTTATGATAGCGTATTTAAGCGATGCGTAGAGAGGATCGAGGAGAAAAAACAAGCGATAAAATTTAAAAACAAAAGACACTTCAGTGTTACTGAAGTAGGCCCCGTCCTTGCCATCTCGCTATGCTAAAATACTTTTATTTGGGAATTATACTTTTGACGACGTTTCCATCTAAATATCTATCCTGCCCCAAAATATCGCTTGAGCAATCAACGGGTGTAAACATGCTTTCCCCCATACATAAAAGTAGTGAGTTCTATACGCAATATTGCTAACCTGCATATTGGAGCGTCTCCTAAACACTATCGTTTAGGAAAATCAAGCCAATGTTCACGCAGTGTGCAGTACTGGCTCCGGCCAATTTATATCCTACTAGATTCTACTATATATGACGCTACGTGTTAACGATCTTGGTATTCTTTTTGTTGTTGGTAACGCTTCAGCGTCACATTTCCCTGCTTCCCTTTCTGAATTTCGTCCTGTAGTTTGACGGTCAATGCTCCTTTCCGATCTATCACTGTCTTTCAAGTTACAGGACTCTCTTTCGGTTGATCTACTAAACAGAAGAAAGCGAAAAGCTTATCCTTAATCGTACTTTTCGCTTTATTTTCCTTTAGAGGTTCCGAGCCATAGCAATTGCTTTTCGGCCCCTTTTGGCTGATACCATAACGACTGTATCTGATGCAGCCGCCGCCACTATTGATGACTAGGAGAGTTTCACAACAGCAGAATACGATACACAGAACGACTACGGACGCTAGCAGATTACAACGCTTCACAACGGCGAGCTAACCAGCCAAGGTATAAGCAATGCGCGAGATCAGGCCGTGAGCCCGATTTTGCGCTCCTCGGAAGCCGTGAAGGATGTTACAGTCACAGGGACCGCCATTGCCACCTGCTGTGAATGCCGCATCAAGATCTAGGAGGCAGCAGTTAAGGTAAAAACGAAGACGAGCGTCAAAAACACGAGCGGGAATAGATGGTCATATTCGTGGTCAATTGCTGTTTCCTATGATGGCGTCACTGAAACGAACATTGGAAACGTTATATGTGTTCATTCACCTGCTCGCCGACTCGAAGAGCGGATAGAGCTGATTCTGCCTTCAGATCAAAACGACGTATCCGCCCAGAGCAGATCGACAGGAATCTTAAACGGAACGCGCTGAGGTGTAGTGTGTATTAGCATACGATGTATATTGCCGAATCTGCTTTTAAACTTCTGGCTCTAACCAACAACAGGCCGAGTGGACTATGAATAACTGGGTTTGCAAAAATACGTAAAAGCAAATAAGGGCATCGGGCGAGATGCTGTACATGTAAGATTAGTTAGGTAAGTAACTTTCAGTGTTGAAGGTAAGCAAAGGAAAGCGTTTTGGAATAACCGTATATCGGGCTAGAACGGGCCTCAACAAGCTGCATGTAAGAATTATAATTTTCAAGTAACCCAAATTTCAAAACGAACCTTTGCGACCCCAGTTGCGTTCGGCCTTGATTTTAAATTTTGGTCGGGGTTGCGCCAATAATCTAAATTCGCTTTGTCGGATGCTATAATCACAGTAGCTGATAGACGTACTTCTTTCGCTTAATGGTACTTGATTTTAATGAAGCTCACACGTGTTTGTCGAATGCAGAATATAAATTACGCTAACAATGCAAAAAAAATCGTGACCTACTTTTGTTTCTTGACAGCACCATCCTACGATCTTTCTCACAGACACGTTTTCCAAATAGTATAGAATCAGATAAGGCGCTGCCAATTGTTTCATTCTCATTATTTTCGTAAAAACAAGTAAACAAAATGCTACATACAAACGCTTGAAAACGATGGTGTCGGCCAGATTCGGGAAGCGTCACTAGATATTCGTTTAGTCACTCAAAATTGACATAACAATAAGAAACAATTGATTAAAATGACTCAAGTTTGATTTTCGAAACACGAAAGGGAGCTACAAGTTCGTTTGGCTCGATCAGCCGTCTCGTCTTTTTGCTCACCCGCAAAACGTTTACTCGCGTTTTGTAAACATTAAAGAAGCAAAAATACTGACAGCAGTTTTCTTCTGACGTGAGACAAAGAAAAAATCCGAAGGAAACTTTCTGGCCTGATAGCGAGCGCACCCAGAATTCAAGTTGTCTAATTAGCCGCTGAAGCTCTGCCGGCAACGATTAAACCAAATTGCGGGTCACCAAAAATCGTAACGGCTATGGCTTCGCATACTGTCAAAGATACTGCCGTTTACTTATGGCAAAATTCAGCGGAAGGAATATTTCTATCGGACCAACAATCACTTGAGCGCACTGTTTTTCGCAGATTTACTGCTTGAAGAAAAGGCTTAGTCCGCTGGGGATGCTGACGACTGTCGGTCAATAACGGCTACCTTGTCGTTCCTGCAACCTTCAGCAACTAAATTAAATCGGAAATAATCTTAAATCGTCCTGTTCCAGGCGGTTAGCGCTCATGCCGTATCGAGATTATATTGTTTGTTTAGAAGTACGTTTATTAGATGATAGCGGTGAGTTTACTGAAATTATATCGATGATAACGATTATATTATGGTTATTTTATAGAGGAAAGGCTTATTGTAACCTGAAATGTGCGTGTTTTGCTTCATTAATTGATAGTTAAAACAGATGCGACTTCCTTCGCGGTGCCTTCGTTTACCCCCTACCGCAATATATGCAGTTCCAATTAGATATACGCATTTTTCAAACCTATTTTTAATAGCGTGTCGTCTATCAGTGATTAGATCAGGTAAATAGGCCGGACGTTTCATGATATACGTTCTTTGAATCAAACGGACGCAGGAGTTGTTGGGGCCAAGTGCGTGCGACTCCGCAGTTGCGCGGATCTAACGACTACACGGTCGAGTCCTGCAGGATGCCCAGAAAGCTGTAGTACGTTACAGATAACCCCACCACCAAAGACGTAGATAGTGAATTCTAGTTAGCTTAATCCAGGCGTAGCGAAATGCGAGATACGGAAACCCACAGCAGCGAGAACGCAAGATGGCGCGGCTACCGTTGAGCCCTAAATCCTGGAGAAATCTCGCTCATGAGACATCATACTCGGTCAAAGCTATATTTTCCTTGCAACGATTTGATTTCTCCCTGCACGTCAACAATTATCCTTTCCATATTGAAATCAGCCCAGGATCGTTACGTTAGGTACGATCGTTGGTCAAGTAATTCAAGCTTTAGCGACTCATACTTTGAAACGGGCCACAGTGTATACGTACAGGGTTCACTTACCCCACGTAAAACAGACCCTCAATTTCGGTCATACAGCTTCTGAGGTACTTCGTACGATGTTATCCTCTCTATGTAATAAATGTTTAGTGGAATTAATTTCAAAAACATTCTCGTGTGCGCTCACACATTTGTAATGAAAAAAGCAACGTAATCTTGTTATATATACAAAGAAACTAATGAACACTATTACGTTCATTAACTCTTCTTCTTATTTGCTAGAGTCCCGCTAAAAAAAGGATTTCTTAAGTGAAAAAAAAGCAACGAATTTAGATAAAAAAATGTCTTTCTAGACACTTATGCATACATCGGTAAGCTTACTGACCCCGATGCTATAATTTCAATTAGATAAAATTAAATTTAAGATATTACGTTATAATGTGATAGAAAATAGGAAATTAATAGGAAAAGAAGGATAATATAATAAAATAGAAATAATAATAATAAAATAAAAAAGAAAATAGGAAATAACCTATTTTCTACCTAACTGCATATCGATGTACAGACTGTGCCAGCCTTTGATCTTTTTGTTCGTCAATATAGAGTCTATTGAGCTATTCGTTCTTTTTTAGGCCTAGTTAGAGCATTGTTCTACCCGCCGTTTAACCTATATATGTTGTAGCAGCAACGTGCAAAAGTGCCTGAGCTTATTATTGATATAGATACATGAGCCAGATGATAGGCATAGGTTAATACTCTGATCTGTCTAAGTGGAATGAATGTACTGACGTTGAAAAACGACCAAATTTTTCAACAAATTAATAAATGAATAGCAACGAGTAAGGTTCCAGAAACTGTGAGCACGTTTTAAAGTAGTTAAAAGTCAGTAGACAGACCGCCATCGAAGCCTCAATAAGGTAGCTTTTATCTTGCTGGTTTCTTTTTTTCGGATTTACCATGTTCCTGGCATCAGTGTAATGAAGTTCACGCGTAAAGTAGATAAACAGGCTTCACGTCATCGGCTTCGCGCGAGCCGCGTCCATGGATCTATTGGTGGTATATATATATATATATATATATATATATATATATATAGAGAGAGAGAGAGAGAGAGAGAGAGCTTTGTCTCTACTGGAACCACCATGTGAGTGTGATGCACAGGGAAGCTATATACCTGGACTGCTTTTGTGTATTTTTCTCTTCGTTCACGCTATGAGTCCATTGAACGAGTTCGTATCACTCAACCTCCTCACACTGCTCACGCGTTCCTAAGGGAAGTCTACAAATAACATATTAAAAAACAGTTGCTTAAGCTCACAGAGCTATCATTTGAATTCACTAAACAAAATAAGTGTCCCGCATACAAACTGATACGTGTTCTTGCTGGTGTACAAAAGTTTAAGTAGCACCAGATCGCTCTCGGTCTTGTCAACTTTGTCATACTTCCGCTAGAACTTACCGATTTTTCTAGTAGTCAATAACTTTGGAGTGTTATGCTAGTATCACTAAATGAAATAGGTCGCCTTGTTATAACCGAGAATTGGACGTATGCATATGTAAATCCGTAAATTTCTAATACATATCTGTGGTCTTTGATATAATCGTTTCAGATAATTTTTTATATGAAAATCAACATTGACAGCTATGCCTTATTCAGTATACTAATTGTCGTTTGGTCGAACGAAATCACAAACCGTATTGAAACTTATTTTTAACTTATCCGCGCCGGTTTCGTGGCGCTTCTTCCCTTCGCTCGCGCGCTATATATACGTACTTGATCATGGTGCCGGATCACGTGATTACGTGAAATCTATTTTTGCCATCACCTGATTTATGATGAAAAGCCCGTTATGCTTACTTCGTATTGTGAGGCACGACCCGAGTCACAATTGTAATCAAAATTTGTAATGTCCTTCCACTACCTCATTTCAGATATAAGATATCTTCTGATAGCGTCATTTTGTATCCATTAAAGAGCACGCTCCGGTATCACACACGGGTATAGGAAAACTATTAGAGCACATTTTTGCATCATTTTGTATGCTATAATATTGCCATATCATGCAATTGACTAGCCAATGGATTCCCTGTTTGATTGTATCTATGGTAGTGTCATCACTTTTTGCGCGCGTAGCCCAGAAGTCACCCGTAAATAGCTAGTTTTTATCAGACAATTGACCCAGACGTAGGTATCACTCGACATCAAATCTGTCCAATCATTAACGGTCCTCATAAGCGACCATCTATCTGAATATATGTGCACTATTTGTCACCTGAACCGCTGAATAAATCTGAATATTGCAATGGCCAATGTTGCTTACTAAAATCATTACAAAGTCATGGCTCGAAAACAGATTCTATCTACTTGTCGTTGTGTTTTTTTTTAACGCTACCTGGCCCTGTGTCAGCATCTCAATTGACCATTATATAAATTTCGATAAGATAAAAACAGCAAATCACTTTTGTACTTACATATGGGTAAAAGAGAAGAAAGTGCTTCGTATGTTTCATGCCTCTGGCCATATCTCCATAATTGTTGCCTGCCTAATTGATAATAGATGAGCACGCTTTTCCTGCTTTCTGTTGTTGTGTGTACGTGACAGTGATTTGTCTGCAACTCAAAACATGTGGGAACATATGTACGATATGACGCATGTTGATCTGATGATTGAGTTGACCAGCAAAATGCAGTAATGCATGAATTTATCTAGAGGACTAATGGACTTCCGACTTACGTCAGCTGAAAAGGTTTCGTCGTGGGCATTTTGTGTGTGGTCGTCTTTTGCTGCCGACAAGTCAGGGCGCACATAGTGATTACTAGGACAGGCAATAAGGACTACTACAGTATAGCTGTGTAGAGACATAGAACGGTGCTTATTAATCATCGGTGTGGACATAGTGACGATAAACTTGACATCCTTCGTTGCTTCATTCGTTAACACAGCCTCCTACCCTTGACGAAAAGTACATAAGGATCCGCATTTCGTCATCGTAATATCGCACATAAGGCACAACTCATCGACATTTTCTGAGCTGGTTTCAGTGGCGCGAATATTTTAGTAAATCCTGTTGCCCTTTTTAAACGCTACGATACACGCCATTACCATAAAGATATAGTACTAGGCTAACAACAGGCATCCACGTGTAGCTATTTTACAAAAATCTAGTAGCGCGTAAGAACCCCAACTTTTTAATTTTCTGGTGTAATGTAAATAGCCTTTTGGGCCAGCCAGGGCAGTAGTTTAGTAAGTATACTTTTGAATCCAAGGCGCAACTCCCACACTTCGGTCCCACGCATGGGGTACTGGGGAAACAACTCCGGTTGTAGTAGGCAATGCGTACGTGCATTCGCCCATATTTCGTTCGAGAAAAAATATTCAACAGGACAATCGTGAAAAGAAAGAAAAGGTGCTTTTGTTGAGTCGATACTCCAGGTCTAATATGGTGCGTCAGCTAGGTAGGAGAGAAATCCATCTGGCCCACTTGTCCTTAGCGCTATTAATGTATAGAAAGTAATATATGTGCGATCTTTTTGTGTTGCAACGGGACGGCTGGGTCGGTTAGCTAACTGCACGAAGGACACTTCTCTGGGACTGCGCTGATAGTGACCGCAATCCGAACTGCATGACAGAGCTTAGACAGCTCCTAGCGCCATGTTTGACCGCATGTATATATTCAAGTCACGAATAGGCCGGCAATGCTGAACGGGCCTTAGCATAACCGTGCACACAGGCTCGCGCAGAAATACTAAAATGGCAAATATAGTAGCGCTGGCTCTTGGCAGTCATTAAGGGGTCGGGGAGTTCCTTGTACACTCGGCACTAGGAACTGCTATTTAAGTGTGATCAGTTTTTCTCAGAATAGTTGGAATCTGGAAAGAATAATACTTAAGCACATCTCAGGTGTTTTGTGCGATGCGGCTAAGGCCATTTGTTTTTGATTGAACGTTCTTTAAGTTTAGCAAAAGAGAGCGGCTAGGTATACATTTGATATGTATCATATCAAGCTCAGGCAAGCGATGATAGAATGAAATACATGCCAGGAGATTATCTGCCTATACAGTGACATGTTATTAAAAATAAAAAAGGATGTGTTGTATTTATGAAGTATGAGGCTTAAAATTCTATATATAATGACTTTTGTTTATAATGTCATAGACAATTAAATGCATTAAAAGTGGGACGCATGTTCTCTATGTCATAACGGGTGGCGTGCCCTATTGGCAGCGCATCGTGATCGGTGTTAACGGTATAGAAACTGTAACTCGTTATGAATAATAATGCTAATAAATTCAATAGACAAACATAAGCTTCAATGTGATGAGGTACAGCGTGCCATTCTTCCACACCCCCGTTCTGTTTTATTTAAATTTAATCATTGAAAGAACTGCCTACTCACTGTCTCGTATCCGTAGTGCGAAGCTAGATATTTATATTAGACATAAATTATATAGACTATTTATTGTGTCTGGAAACAATTAATTATACATCACGTTTTATAAGCCGTCACAGTTGACGTTTTACAGTTTAATCACCCCTAGGCATAATCCCTAAGTTAAATACTACTCAAGTTTGAAGAAGATTCTGTTAAACGAGACCAGCTCCACGGCTGAGAGGTAATATTTTCGTAAATTTTTTATTTAATGGGTATAACATTAGAATTCGACCCGCACGAAGCAATGGTTGATTATAGGAAAAAGTAAGTCGTCAGAAGAGGCCATACGATTTAATGTAACATTCTGCGTTACTCTTTCCGCGTTCATTCACTCGTTAATGTATGTATATAATATTCGAACGGCCTTCTACACCTCTTCCAATGTACAATGACAAGTAGTTGTAATATAAATATTGAAATAGATTTGTAGAAGCCATTGGAACAGAACTCGAAGCTTCGCTCTATAACATATAGGTACCTAAAATAGTAAAAATGATTTTTTGGCACCTCAACGAAGTTCGTGAGGCACTGAATCTTACCAACTGTTAACCAAACGACGCAAGCCTCCCTTCGCTGCATTTTCACACTGTGTTAAGTTGGAGAGAATAGTTACGGCGTGTCAGAAGCTCGGCAAGCAAAATTTCGACGGACTGATGCAGAAAAAAAAATAGACCTCGAAAATAATAAAAGGAAATGCCCGCCGTATTAGTCCGAGGGCTATGAATGCCTGTGAATAACCTCATTTACTTTTGAATAGCAGACGACGTTAGCTTTGAATGGCGGACAAGTCTATGAAGGCCCTGTAGCAGATTTGGCCAGCAAAGGCCGAAAGATGTCCATCTGCGCCTTCTGTGATCAGTCGGGACAGTCTTCTTTTAGTTTTTGGCTGCGTCTGTTATAGCGGTAATTGAGGTCTCTTTTCTTATTTTTGCTTGAAACATGTTCGCTCTTTATAAGTCAAAACAGAAATTAGGTTACCGGATCGAAGTATTGTCGTTGCTGTCGGCTAGCTATTGTTTATTATTGTCCTAATTATTCAGCGGGCTCTTTAGTCGGTAGAGAGGTAGCCAAAGCCCTCTGTAAGGGCTAAAGGCTACAAGTTTTCTCTAGACATTGCAAGATCATTGAAGATACTGCTAACAATATTCGTTTCACACTATAGACCCTGCGTATCAGAAAAGATACCGCTGACAATATTTAATTATCTGTCGAGCATCAGGTCTCCATATTTCTTGGCCTACAGCTTGTGATTCATATTAGCTTGTTAGTATTGGTACTTCATGTTGTAACTTTGTGTGAACTTGTGTGCTTACTCGGTGTCATGAATAACTTGCACATGTATATATTAGCTCTCGACGTACTGTAGGATAGCAGCTTGCACGAACAGAGAACGACTGCGAAGGTCCAATCACACTGTCTGGCTTGAAACGATATTTCCGAAACTTCTATTTAGGCTTTTGCCGCTTCCCAGCCTCAGGGCCAAAGATACGGACCGACGATGATTCTTAATTTTTCACTCCATGTAACTCTTAAAATCTAGAGCAAGACTGCAGGCACCGTGGCCTCGCTTGCCTGAAAATCGCAGCGTATAACTGCGACGCTTGTACAGTTCTAGACGCCCATAAAGCTGCGGAAATTTAACCATAATATTATCCATTTCGGTCTTGCTAATACATTCATCGTTCATAATAAAAAAAATATATATATATATATACCTCAGTTTTGCTACATGAATGACAGACGTTTGAAAAGCATATATTTTTTGTCATTAGTACATGTTAGACGAATCATTGTCGTAGTAGCAAACATATAGAAAGTTTGAAGATTGAGACATACGTCGATTCCTTCAATCGGGAATTCTCAAAAAATACGATGCGTATCTAATACACACAGGTGCGGTCCTCTCTCTTTGTCCTATATTGTCCATATTTGTATTTCATTCTGTTCTCATTATGTGCTTAAAACGTAATCTATTTCCTTTATACTGCTATCATACAACAGTATAATTGCGATCAAGACGTTACCCATGTTTAACTTATAAATTAACTAGACTCTATTTTAACTGGAAAGTAAGGATTTTGAAATATGGAATAGATTCGCGCCATATCATCACTAGGAAGGTTCGACCAGAGGCTGCTGACGACTGAAAATGATGAGTAGGGCAAATGTAATAAAGAAGATATATATCTCTGCCAAATTCGAATTACACTTAACAGTTATCCAGTGTGAAACTCAAGCAATAAACATTGCTATTAATTATAACGGTGGTGGCACCTGTGCGTATATTTTCCTGTAACAATCGTATTAAATGGCTATTGGGAATAATTTGTTCGGATCTAGGCCGTTTTTGCCTCTAAATACTTGTTCAATATAAAACAACTACAAATGTCCGAATACGTATTAAGCTCAATCAGATCATATGCACGTATCCTGATAGAGCTGCTGAAGAAGACGAGTAAACCGTGTACTTTTGATGGCTAAACGTGACCATTCAAATGGTCTTCTGATTCGCTTATGGGGCCAGCAAATCTAAATGGGTCCGTTAATATTTCTGTTTTCATGAGGTCCAACGTTTTTGACCCCAAATACTTGGGATAATAGAAAGGTCGAGTCGTCTGAGCGTCCACAGGCAGATTTGGGCATATTGACCGGTTAAAAATTCCACATTTTCAGATTTTACTGCACCGTTGGGTCGAACACAACTGTTTCTGTTTATGGACTATGTGTTTGCATTAAAAGTTGCCATGTTGGTGGACCGATACGCACGGGACTAAACAAAGATCACTGCAATGAGAAAAGCTGAGGCTTCGATAACTTTAATAAAGTAGTGTTTGTGAGCCAGCTACGGAAAGTAGAGTACGCGATATGATTGATGAGCAAGATCAGACAGTCGGGAGCGAGGTTTCTAATTACGTATTGTCTGTTGCGGGATATAAAAGAGTTATGGCGGGTATGGCGGATAGAAATCGTGGAATAATACGATTGAATATGAACAGTGTCGTTTGTTATAACTAATACAGTCGATGAAACGAAAAGGAAAAGTCGATGAAACGATCTCGGCCATTGTGACGCATTTATACTAGTTACAAATAATCAGGCGTT